TTCAGACCTTCTCTCCCACCCCGAAGATGACCACTCTTCGGGTGCTGCTGCACATTGCCGCTCAGCGCGACTACGAGCTTCACTCTCTCGACTTCAGCACTGCGTTCTTGCAGGGTAGCCTGCACGAGGAGATCTGGCTTCGCCGTCCACCTGGCTTCACTGGGACTTTCCCTCCTGGCACCCAGTGGAGCCTCCGACGGCCAGTCTACGGTCTCCGCCAGGCACCGCGTGAGTGGCACGACACACTGAGGACTACGCTTGCGGCTCTTGGGTTTGCTCCTTCTACTGCTGACCCGTCGCTGTTTCTTCGCACCGACACTTCCCTGCCGCCGTTCTACATCCTCGTGTACGTCGACGACTTGGTCTTTGCCACAGCGGACACTGCTGGACTCGCCTACGTGAAGTCCGAGCTGCTGAAGAGACACACGTGCACAGACCTGGGTGAACTGCGCAGCTACCTTGGCTTGCAGATCACTCGGGACAGAGCACGCCGCACCATTACCCTGACTCAGTCACACATGGTGCAGCAGGTCCTTCAGCGCTTCGGCTTCACGTACTCCTCGCCTCAGGCCACTCCTCTGCCTACTCGCCACTCACTCTCAGCTCTGCCTTCGGATGAGTCCGTAGAGTCGAGTGGTCCGTATGCAGAGCTTGTTGGCTGCCTCATGTACCTGATGACCTGCACTCGACCTGACCTTGCATACCCTCTGAGCATCCTTGCACGCTATGTTGCTCCTGGGAGACACCGACCAGAGCACATGGCTGCAGCGAAGAGGGTATTGCGCTACCTGTGCAGTACGTCGGGCATGGGGCTAGTGCTTGGAGGGCGGAGTCCAGTGGTCCTTACTGGGCACGCAGACGCTTCTTGGGCTGACGACCAGGCTACGCAGCGGTCGTCACAGGGTTACACCTTCAGCCTTGGTTCCGGCTCTGTCTCGTGGCGGTCTACTCGCTCGTCTTCGGTTCTCGGCTCCAGTTGTGAGGCTGAGATCTACGCCGGGGCCATGGCTGCACAGGAGCTTCGCTGGCTCACCTACCTGCTGACTGACCTTGGAGAGCTGCCTCGTTCTCCTCCAGTGCTGTACGTAGACAACAAGGCCATGTTGGCCTTGTGTCGAGAGCAGCGCTTGGAGCACAGAACGAAGCACATTGCTCTCCGCTACTTCCTTGCTCGTGAGCTGCAGCAGCGTGGTCAGTTGCGACTTGCTTACGTGGCCTCTGAGGCCAACACTGCTGATGTGTTCACCAAGGCACTTGCGCCTTGCGACCATCAGCGCTTTTGTACCCAGCTGGGTCTTGTACCTGTCTTGCCTCACTTGCTCTCTTCTTGACTTTACTTGTACTTTGACATATATATACCTGCTCTTGCTTGTCTAGTTTTATATATATGTCTTTACTCCTGCATGTGAACTGGCCTCTGGCCTTGCTCTTGTGCTCGGACTGTGTGGTGACTTTGTGATCCACCCTGAGCTTGTTTTGCTTTGCTTGACTGGTCTTGTGACCCCTTGTTCTCCCCCACTTTGCCTATGGGGGTGTGTCAGATTATTATAGCTGATGCATGTTTGTAGGCTATAGTGGGGTAGCACATATGGGGTACAGTTTGCTAGGGTTGTATTTGTACCCAACTCTGACTTAGTCAATCCATTCCTCTGCTCATAGTTTCACAGCTATGACATGCCTCGCAGTGACCTTATGCTGTGACACAAGCATATGTGACGCCGCATGCTGTGACTGGGACAGCAGTGACGCCGCATGCTGTGACTTGGACAGCAGTGACGCCGCATGCTGTGACTTGGGCAGCAGTGACGCCGCATGTTGTGACTAGGACAGCAGTGACGCCGCATGCTATGACTTGGGCAGCAGTGACGCCGCATGCTATGACCATGCTGTGACTTGGACAACAGTGACGCCGCATGCTATGACTTGGACAGCAGTGACGCCGCATGCTGTGACTGGGATAGCAGTGACGCCGCATGCTGTGACTAGGACAGCAGTGACGCCGCATGCTATGACCATGCTGTGACTTGGACAGCAGTGACGCCGCATGCTGTGACTTGGACAGTAGTGACGCCGCATGCTGAGGCACCAGGGCGATGGCGCGCATGCGTTATGCGGGACGAACCTCAGGTTGGGACCGTGGCTCTGACAGTGGCTACGACAGAGGGTGACAACACACTCGACTTCAGCAGTCCGTCTACAGCTGTGTATGCCGCCGACAGCCACTGAAACTACAGCTTGAGTGAGACAACACTACAACCGGTGCTCAAGATTGCGTTTATCGTCTCTTACAGTTGGGTGCCGATGTACAAAATGTAGTGCAGGACGTTGGCCTTGAATCCCGTTCACCTATCGTCTTTCTCCCTACCGGCAACGGTTTAGGCCTTTCCCTCGCGCATTCCCGTGGTCGCCCTGTCAAAGATTACTGTCGCAAGTCAGGCCCTAGATGTTACACCCGCAGGTAGTAAAGGTTCTACCAACCTTTCCTATTGTCTACGTATGGTTAGGACCCACCCGAAATGAACTTTTCCTCTCTAGGATACCCCTACAATGCTCATACTTCATGGAGCACAACTACTCTTCTCGGCAAATCGTGCTCCTTACACTCAAGCCCTGAACGTCGCGTTTAGCTGTTGACATCTCTGCGACGCGGCGTCCTAGTACCAGTGTGTCGCGACAATATTTCGTGCTGTGACCTGCCTACTATCAAGCAAGGTTGGTAGTCGTGCTATGCGTTGATTCCGTCATCGAGCACGTTTTGCGAGGCTGTAGGTTTTTCAGGTCGCTTTTGAGGTTGGTGTCAAATGTTTACCTACCACTCGTTTTGGTGGTTCAATTCAACACTTCACCGGATTGTAACCCCCCTATTCCCTCTATACCCCCTCGCTGTTTGGATGCAATGCGAGTATTTTTTATCGGTGGTGCTGATTGGCTGCGCTTCTGCACCATTCGAGGCGACAGAATGGTCGCACACAGTATTTTCGTGTAATGGTGGTCATCTCTGGGGGAAGCAGGCCAATCTGAGTGTGGCGAGGTGATGATTGATTTCGCGACTCTGAGAGTGCGTCGCTAGGGTTGGTTCTACAAAAAAGGTTTTTGCTCCCTCTCGCTAACCCTGTTTCATGTTCAGGAAACTTGGTATTTAGCCATGTGATACTCGGGCTTTAAAACCCGCAGCCTGGATTACAAAACTCAGTCAACGCGAGGCTTGGGTTAGGTAAGGGGTCAGGCAATCTGAGGTTCGGAGGAATTGCGAGAGCTGCTTGTTAGCGAAAGCAATGTAGCGACGGAAGTGGTGTCGCTACCAATCAAACGACTCGAGGACGAATGTGAATACAGCACCAACTGAATGGGATTAAGTAGCCTACCACACCTCAACATACCTCTCGCTACTCGACTTGTTGTTTAGACTATTTGTACTAGCACCACTAGGATACTATAAGGAAAATCACTTTTCCTTACTTCGCATCCCTGCTCAACGCGTACATCACTGTAGCACCACAGTCAGCACCGTTACCACTCGCGATCCTCGCATCGACAGTCAGCCCGCCACTTTCGCACATCGCACCCCGACCTCACGGCTCGGCTGGTAACCCGCGCTCCGGGCCTCCGCTTCGACACTTTCCCAACCTCAGTCCCAGGCCCGTCGCGCGACAACCACAGTCCATTACCGTTACCATTATAGTTTCGCTATATATTCTTAGCTTATGCCTTCTCTCATTGTATTTTTGCTTCGATAGTGCATTTCTCGTTCGTTCACTCAATTTCACTCGTAACAGATACTAACCAAGCACACGCCGTGCACGGCCCAAGAACAGGATGTGGTGGACGGGGAACGCAACTCTCCTTCCCGACACTAAACGCATTCAGCCTTCCTGACGCTAAACGCCTTGAGCCGTCCCCTAAAACGAAACGCACTTAGCAGTCCGGACGTGTAGGGCATTTGCTAGCCTGCCCAACGTGACACGCATTGGCTAGCCTTCACAACGCGAAACGCATTTGCTAGCCCTCCCGACGCGCAACACCAGTAGCCTGCGCGTCGACCGCATTTAGCCTAGGCGGCACGGGGGAATAGGGATCCCGTCGGCCCGCATAAAGCCTTCCCGTCGCCCGCGGTAAGCCTTCCCTTCGCCCGCATTCCGCCTTGTGGTCGCCCGTACTTAGCCTTTCCAAACCCCTCATTGAGCGAAACATCTCCAATATTTAGCAATCACGGCGCAAAAAATATCCCGTCTCGTCACATGCAATTCCAATACGAAGCGTCGACATTACCTCTTCCCATCGCCAGCTTTAGTCCTCCATGTCGCCCTCATTCCGCGTTCACGTCGACTGCATTTCCCCAAGCCGACGGCGCCTTAGCCCTTCCCTTCGACACAAAGTATCGAATCTTAGTGTCATCAAATTTCCGCATTGCCCTCATGGGGCCGAGCCGTCATCACCGGGGTTTCCCCATCCCGTCGCCCGCGATTCCCCATCCCGTCGCCCGCATTTCGCGTGGCCGTCGTCCGCGATTCCCCAACCAGTCGCCTGCATTTTCCCACGGCTCACTCTCTTTCCCCCCCCTCTTCACACTTCCTACTTCCCCTCTGCTCCCTCTCTTTCCGCCTTCTTGCATCCCGTTTCCCCCCTGCTCATTCACTGGTCCCCTTCAATCATCCAGTCGCGGCACATCACACCCACTTTCCCCCATCATTCATCCCATCCCATTTCGGCCCCTCACCTACTTCCCTTCTGCCCGATCCCATTTCCCCCTTTGCACATGCTCAATCCCCTCCGTCGCACATGCTCACTCCCCTTCGTTGCCCACGCTCACTCCTTCCCGTCACACACGCTCTCTCCCCATACGTCGCCCACACTCACTGCCCGTACGTCGCACACTCTCACTCCCTTCCGTCGCCCACGCTCACCCCCCCTCCCCCGTCGCCTTCGCTCACTCTCTCCCGTCCCCTTTCTCCCTTCTCATCTCCCCCCTTTCTCCCTTCTCATCTCCACCCTTTCTCCCCTCAGGCTAGAGTTAGAGTCAGCGCATGCAGCGTACGACAAGGCAGCGGTTTATTTCCAGGTGCAGCGCCATCCCTCACCTCCCCATCCCTCACCTCCCCATCCCTCACCTCCCCATCCCTCACCTCCCCATCCCTCACCTCCCCATCCCTCACCTCCCCATCCCTCACTTCCCCATCCCTCACCTCCCCATCCCTCACCTCCCCATCCCTCACCTCCCCATCCCTCACTTCCCCATCCCTCACCTCCCCATCCCTCACCTCTCCATCCCTCACCTCCCCATCCCTCATCTCCCCATCCCTCATCTCACATCGCCTCGCCTCCCCATCCCTCACCTCCCCATCCCTCACCTCCCCATCCCTCACCTCCCCATCCCTCACCTCCCCATCCCTCGCCTCCCCATCCCCCACCTTGCTTCCCTCACCTCCCCATGCCCTGCCTCCCCAACCCTCATCTCTCCATCCCTCATCTCCCCATCCCTCATCTCCCCATCCCTCACCTCCCCATCCCTCACCTCCCCATCCCTCACCTCCTCATCCCTCACGTCCCCATCTTTCATCTCCCCATCCCTCATCTCCCATCGCCTCGCCTCCCCATCCCTCACCTCCCCATACCTCACCTCCCCATCCCTCACCTCCCCATCCCTCACCTCCCCATCCCTCATCTCCCCATCCCTCATCTCCCCATCCCTCACCTCCCCATCCCTCATCTCCCCATGCCTCATCTCCCCATGCCTCCCCTCCCCAAGCATTACCTTCCCATCCATCATCTCCCCATCCCTCATCTCCCAAACCCTCATCTCCCCATCCCTCGTCTAGGGTTGCCTCATCTCCCCATCTCCCACCTCCACACCCCTCATCTCCTCATCACTCACCCCCCATACCTCCCATCCGTTCCCCCCTTCACTCGACCCAATTAACCCCTTCTCATTATACCTCCCCTATCCTCATCCCATTTCCTCCATGCCCACTCTCTTTCCCTCGTTCACTCTTCCCATTTCCCCTAGCTCACTCCCTTTCCCCCGTCGCTCACCCCGTTGCCCCCCTGCTGAATCTCTGCTCTCTTTGTTTCGTCCCAATTCCCCCCTGCTCACTCTTAGTCCCTCTTCTTTCATTCCATTGCGTCGCTGCTCACCCTCTCTCCTCCTTTCACACACCCCATCCCCCCGCTGCTCAATCTCATTTCAATTGCACTCGTCCCATTCCCCCCCTGCTCACACTCCTTCGCCCCTTTCCCCATGTGTTGATCTCAAAATCCAACCTGCTAACTCTCCTTCCCCCATCTTTCATCCCATTTCCTCCTTGGTCACTAATCCCCCCTTCTTCCATCCCATTTCCCCCTTGCTTACTCACTATCCCCCTTCACTCAACCCATCTGCCATCTGCTAAATCTCAATCCCTTTGCATTCATCCCATTATCCCCGTGCTTGCACTCTTTTCCCTCATCTATTGTCTTTTATCCCCCCTGCTCACTCTGATGCCCCCTTCTCGCATCCCATGTCCGCCCTGCTCACTCTCGTTCCCCCTTCTATGATCCTATATCCCCACAGCGCACTCTCTTTCCCCCCTTCACTCACCCCATTTCCCCTAGCTTCTTTCCCCCTTTACTCATCCCGTTTCCCCCCTTCACTCACCCTTTCCACCCCTACTCAATCTCCTTCCCATTGCATCATCCCATTCCCCCCACATCACTCTCATTCGCCTTTCTTTCATCCCAGCTCCCCCTTGCTCACTCTTCATCCTCCTACACTCACCCCACTTTCCCCCTTCTCAATCTCACTCGCCCTGCATTCATCCCATTTCCATGACACATGCTCATGATCATGACCCCTTCCATGATCGTGTTTCCCCTATGCTCACTCACTTTTCCCCCTTCACTCACCCCATTTCACCCAGCTCCTTCTCTATCCCTCTGCACTTATCCCATTACCCCCCTGCTCATTGTCTTTCCCCCTTGTATGCTCTCGTTTCCTGATTCCCCTTTCCTTCATCCAATTTCCCCCTTTCTCACTCTCTTCCACAACGCCCTAACACTCTCTTCCACAGCGCCCTCCCTCTATTTCCCCCATCGCTCACCCCATTTTCCCCCTTCTCAAAATCTCCCCTCATCGCATTGTACCCATCTCACCTCCCCTCCCCATGCCCATTACTCCCTTCTAACCCTCCCTCCCCCTCAAATTTACTCCTTGCTCCACCCATCCTCCTCTTCCACTTACTCAACTCACCTCTCCACCACCTCATATTCCCTATCCTAGCGCGCTGACACTCCCTTCCATAGCACCCTCACAATCCCATCCATATTGCCCTTGGGTGAGCAAATCTGAACGACATCGCATTGCCTACCCCATCGCCCTCAGATTCACAGGGCCCCCCCTCCCCCCCATCTCACCTCCCCTCCTTCTTACCACTTATTCTCTCCTCTCCCCCAATCCCCATCCCTCCGCCCATCGCATTGCACCTGTCTCACCTCCCCTCCCTCTTACCACATATTCCCTCTCTCCCCCCATCCCCATCTCTCCACCCATCGCCCGTCATTTTCTCCCCCTCCCCTCTCCTCTTTTATCTTCTCATTCACGCAACTCCCGTCCTCATCTCCACTTCAAAACCTAATCTCCTCACACTCCCGCACGCAGGGATCCACGGTTCTACCAGACTTACATTCCAGCGCACAAGGGAGCGTGAGAATTCATTTCGCACGGAATAGAACAGTCACGGCAAAGGTGAGTCCGACACGGATCTAGCGCCCTGCTATTGACTTCCGGCTCAACCTCACATTCCCTTCCCCAGCACCCTCACATTCCCTTCCCCAGCACCCTCACATTCCCTTCCCCAGCACCCTCACATTCCCTTCCCCAGCACCCTCACATTCCCTTCCCCAGCACCCTCACATTCCCTTCCCCAGCACCCTCACATTCCCTTCCCTAGCACCCTCACATTCCCTTCCCCAGCACCCTCACATTCCCTTCCCCAGCACCCTCACATTCCCTTCCCCAGCACCCTCACATTCCCTTCCCCAGCACCCTCACATTCCCTTCCCCAGCACCCTCACATTCCCTTCCCCAGCACCCTCACATTCCCTTCCCCAGCACCCTCACATTCCCTTCCCCAGCACCCTCACATTCCCTTCCCCAGCACCCTCACATTCCCTTCCCCAGCACCCTCACATTCCCTTCCCCAGCACCCTCACATTCCCGCAGTCAGCTCCCCCCCTACAGCTACCTTGTAGCTCTCCACCTCTTCCCTACTGCATACTCCTAGCCCATCTCCCCTCCCCCACCACTTACTCCCATCTCACATCCTCTCCCACTAACCACTAACACCCGTCTCTCCTCCCCTCTCCTTACCCCTTGATCCCATATCACCTCCTCTCCCCTCACCACCAAGTCTCATCTCACCTTCCCTTCCCCCACCACTTACTCCCATCTCATCTCCTCTACCCATACAACTTACTCCCAGCTCACATCCTCTACCCATACCATTTACTCCCAGCTTACATCCTCTACCCATACCATTTACTCCCAGCTCACATTCTCTACCCATACCGCTTACACCCATCTCACCTCCCCTCGCCCTTACCACTTATTCTCATCTCCCATGCCCCTACTACCACATCCAGCACACCACTTACTTCCTATCCGTTTCCCCCTTACCTCCCGATTATTTTCCCATTTTACTCACCCCATCCCCGCCTTTGCCCATGCGTTTATCCGTGATCCATCCTGCTCACTCTCTTTCCCCCTTGCCCATGGTTATTTATTGCATGTGAATTGCAACTCATCAAGATGGCGCAACCTACGGCGTCGGAACTTTGTCGCTTGTTTGATCAATGTCACCATACTGTTCACTTACACCTTCGTGCCCCTGTCTGCTATCTGCGCGTTGGGCTGAGTGTGCTGATGCCGGACACAACCACAGCAACACTCTCTGATGTGTTATCGATTTACATGCTGGCAGCACCACATGTCACACTGATATTACTAAAAGCTGCTATGAATGCAGGCTTAGTTGGTACTTTACGTTTTTTTGGGTCACGTAAACGTAAACTTACGCTTGAGTTTACCTTTACGTTTTCTTACGCGTAATTTTACGTAAAGTCGCACGGGCAGGGCAAAAAAAGTTTTTTTGCCCGCGAAACGAAAAAATCTGACTGATATGAGGTGGGAGAGGCTGCTACATGTTTGTGTAGATTTGGGGCATCTGTAAGTTGATGTAATAATGTGCTAACATGCTTGGGCGTAGAAGAACCAAGCTAGTGATAGATTAGGCGCTTCCCATGCAGCCACTTAGTCCGATGATTTCTTATATTTCCGGGCAGTTAGAACTGTTTCTAGCTGACCGTAAACGTAAAGCCATTTTTAGCCCACGTAAGTAAACGTAAGTTTACTACGTAAAGTCACGTAAACGTAAACCACCGTAAACGTACAATACCAACTAAGAATGCAGGTAATGTGAGGGGAATTGTCAGTCATGTTTCGTACTCAATCAAAGGACAAACTACATGTGGCATGCACATTTCGTGTGTTACGCATCTCCACATGACACGTCTCCTCCCGTTTACGCTTTCTCAACTATTAATCCCCTCCAAATGTAGGAACCGGGGGCGATAAGGCTAGGAAGATGGTAGAGTTGCATCTTGAGGCAACGGAGAGAGCATTTTGGAAAGGCATGGGTGGGGGGCTTGATGGAGTGGACGATTTGCTCAAACGGCCCAATTGGAGTTTACATAGAGTGGCCTAAAAACTTTCCATTATGGGAGTTGGACCAAAACGGGGTGCCAAGGAGAGGCAGAAGTCGGGGTTCAGACGAGGCTGATGTCCAGCCTTCGACACCCGTCCAGCCATCTGATGGTGAGAGCCAAGTAGCTATGCATCTATATTCCAACGATGGCTGGCAAGGAATAAAAAAAAAAGTGAAAAACATCCAATAGAAAAGACCCGGCTTGGTGTTTTACCATACATTACAACACATTTATTAATACATATCCTTGTCAATGCAATTACCAGGTCATGTGTCAAGTCCATCTCTGGGACTTGTCGAGGATGTCAGAAGACTAAGTTGACTTAGGACTTGGGTTCGGGTAGAACGAGAGTTACGAGAGGAAGGGGTCGAGAGATTAGCCAAAAGGGGATTGCACTAGCAAGCAGGTGGATACACATAAGAAACCCTAAGGGGCCGTACTCACTATAGAGTGCCCCACTGCGGGCTAGACAAACTACACATTCTGACACACCCCCATAGTCAAAGTGGGGTATAATCAGCAAAACAAGCAACAATTCATAGTTCACAAATATAAGCAAAGCTTTAGGCTATCACAGAGGGCAAGTGAGAAGGAGGAAGAACCGTGAGAGGATAGAAGATGGGAGGCAACGAGTGAAGCTGCAGACACACGGACAACAGGAGCGGCGCGCACAGTGGCTACCGGTGGCAAGGGCCCCGGACTACAGGAGTAACAGGCTTCGCGGCTAAGACGAGCGGCAGGAGCAACGGATCCACGGGCGACAGGCGCAGCAGGCTCTCTGGGCTACCAGCGGCAAGGGCCCCGGACTACAGGCGCTGCGGACGACAAGACTGCTGCCTCCACTCAACCTCCCTTAACTTTCCCACACCTCTTTCACACACCCCCTGCTGAACCCCTAGCTCCACTCACACTCCACCCCTCAAGCACCACTACAAAGGCTCCCACACATCCACCCCCCTCAGCAGTAGCTGCAGCAGTGGGAGACGGAGGAGGAGGAGGAGCTGGGGACGGGTCACACACCCATCACCCCCAGACCCGCCACCTCCATACCCTTTAGTCCAC